GGGGGGGAGGGAGAAGCAGGCTCCCCATGGAGCAGGGAGCCCAGCACGGGGCTCGATCCCAGGACCCTAGGACCACGACCTGAGCCGAAGGCAGACGTTTAATGGTCTGAGCCACCCAGGTGCCCCCATAACCTCTTTTAACAAACAAACTGCTTACCCCATCAACATTACCTGAAGTTTGTAAGTCACTTAGACATTGTGACTAAAGACAAAGCAGAACAAAGCCACGTTTAGAGTGTGCATTTTCGAAGTGTGTCCTCACTGGGGCTTCCCTCTCTGCAGACGCCCCGGTGCCCACCCCCAGTGACTTGACCCTCAGCGGGTTAGTAAGGCGTCCAGTAACAAGTAAGCTTCTTACAGCTTATGTTTTAGGGTTCCATACGCGGTTAAGTCTTTTTTTTTTTTTCATGTTGTTTAACCTCCATGTATTTGTGGTCTTTCCAATTTTTTCAGGTTTCATAGGGTTGTGATCAGAAAATATGCATGGTATGAGCTCAGTCTTTTCGTACTTGTTGAGGCTGATTTGTGACCCAGTATGTGGTCTCTTCTGGAGAATGTCCCATGTGCGCTTGAGAAGAATGTGTATTCTGCTATTTTAGGATGAAATGTTCTGAATATATCTGTGGCGTCCGTCTGGTCCAGTGTGTCATTCAGAGCCCTTGTTTCCTTATTTTCTGCTTAGATGGTCTGTCCATTGCTGTGAATGGGTAGATTAAATCTTCCTATTTATTCTTTGCTATTTAAATAAATACACCATTTTGTTAGAAATATATTCTGAATAGGTACAGCTTTGGTCTTTAAAGTATGTGCTCATCATTCAGAATAATCATGGCTGGAGTTAACCCTATTGAAGTCAAAATAACGAAAGCCCCCTCAACATGCCCCTTGCCTCCCCGAGTCCCAGGTATGAACATGTTAGAGACCCATGGGCTGGATTCATGGCGTAGTCATGGTGCGGCCCCCTGGGTCATTTGAAACCCATCCTTCACACATTATACATTAATACCCAGCTGCCTTTTGTTGAAATTCAAACTTTGGCCCTTAGCTGGCAAGCATTTTCAGCTATCACATGGTTGGCTTGCTTTCTTTTTTTTCCAAGATTGTGTTGTTTTTATTTTCAGCACTTTGCTCATATTTTTTCATTCTCATCGCTGAATCAGAAAGTCTTTGGGATGGAGTCCCTGCACTGTGGAACCCGATGCTCTGTCTGGCTACAGGGTCAGGATGGAGTGGGGTTCTAGGACACACCCTGCTGGTGTCAGAGATTCGGTTGGTGGTGGTGTGAGGAGCCCTCGCCGAACGCACACGTCGGAAATGGGGCATCAGGACGCTTTTACCAACTACGTCGATGGATGTGGATTGCTGTGAGGTAAAGGCTTCAAGATTTTATAGATTTATTGGCCACTAAACTCACTGTTTTCTTAATGCTCTATGTAGGCACTAAGCCTAGATCTAACGAATCTGAGAAAGACCTTCCTGATTCTGAGGCCGGTGGCCTGAAAACCATGCTGAGAAACCACATACCCTCTAATTTGTACAGGTTAGGACCAGGTGAGCTAATGATTTCATCTATAGGTTAATGGTGACAAATAATGGTCACCCAAGGGGCACAACGCACCTCTTAATAATTGATAACTGTTTAATATAGTTTTTCAATTTTTTTAATGAATTACAATTCTTAGAAAATTAGCAACGATAGCTAGCTTGAAAGGAATCTCCTCTAAAAAATATTCCTGAGCGTCCCACTCTTAAAACTCTCCAGATAAAACTGAGTTGGTTTCTCTGCTCATCAGAATTCCTGTAGATCCTATTTATTCATAAATAAAAGTGCAGCTCAGAAATGGCATGGTTTTCTGTTCTGACTACAGCTCTGAGAGTAGGATTTGGTGGCTCGTGGCTTGTCCCAGAGAGACGGGGCGGGCACGGTGAGACCAACGTGGCAGGTGGTGGGCAAGGTGGCTGGTCTGCAGGCTGCCAGGAAGAAGCGTGGCTGGTGGCGTTTTCGAGGGGAGTCAGGCAGTTCATGCGAGAAGCATGTGCACAGAGGAAGAGGCCGCGCCGGGAAAGGCAGCGCTCAGGACCTCATGGCAGGCTTGGGGGGCCATGCATGTACCAGAAGAGGAATGGGAAACACAGTCATAGGAACAAAGGCACAGGGTGTGGGGGCCAGAGACAGACGTGGCTGAGGCTCAAGTATGATGACAGAGACTGGGACCCACAGTTACCGTCATCATGGGTTTACCGGATACGACGCACAGTGCTCAGCCTCTTATGCGGATCGCCCTCTGCGACCTTGGCAGAGGCTCCACAGCAGAAGGTCCATCATATGGGTGAGCGAACTTAGCCCAGCTTCCTAAGTCAAGTCACACTAAGTGCAGGCATGAATGGAGAAGTCTGTGCCCTGGAGCCCTGCTGGGAGGGTGCGGTGTGCACACACGCGTGTGTGGGGTGCGTGTGACTGTGTAGAGAGCGTGGAACGGGACAGGGAACTGGAGGGGTCCCCCCTGGTCACTGTGAGACTGAAACCCAGGCACGAGGAGCCCGCCGGGGCTCGTGAGGTCAGGTCCCACCAAGGGCAGGAGTGACGCCCACGCAGTGGCCGGGGTGGGGAGGGCAGAGGAGGCAGCCGTGCTTCGCTTCTGGCCCCAGTCAAGACGGGTTTGGGCCCCGGGCGGTGAATGGGGCTGGGGGGATGGGCTAGCTAGCTGTCTGTGCACACAGACGGCGCCTTCTTCTAGAGTAACTTCAACAGCAGACGCGACAGCCTCCCGTTCCAGCTTCCACGATAACCACCAACTCTGATTCTTGTGCTCCTCACGTTCTCTCTACCCCAAAGCGCTGCCTGAAACCCTCGCCCTAGAAATCTATGCAGTGAGATGGAGCAGAGAAAGGAAGAACTGCCACTATATCCTTCAAACCCGGGGTCCTGGGGGTGGAGCTTCCGTGCTGCGTGTGGAAGAGCATCCAGAGCCTCGGGGAACGGCTGCGCTGGAGACTCCTCAGAAACTCGGTGTGAGCGGTTTTACCTACGCCCTCTTCTCATTTTAGACCCAGGTAGGCATGAGCTTTGGTGCTCATGATTTTAAAGAAACCTTTTTTTAATTGAACTAAACTAGAAACACGAGAATTCGGCTGGCACAGAAGAATCAGGCTGCTCACAGACAGCTGTTGGGTGTCAGTGAGAAAGTTATTCCTAAATCATAAAAAGTCACTTGAGCTTTATAGGATTGTGGAGTCCGAAGCCCTATTGCACACCCAAACTCAATTTATTAGCATCTGAAACTGACAGTGTGTCAAGGATACTGATTAATTACCTGATTTCGCAAGCCAGGCATGGGCTGAGATTTTCCTTGACAATTTGCTTAAAGATGGCAGAAAGAAACCCGCACTTTTGTCTGCCCTATGTCAGAAGCAGCTCAAATGGAGCCTGTTCTAATTACGCTAGTGTGCCCCCCACTGCCCTCCTGTTTAATTCTTCAAATTTACTCAGATGTAAATGGAATTTGCAAACATTCAGGATCTATAAATTCTTTATTCTTGTTCTTTCACTTCTTGTTTGTACTTCAGCTGATTCAGACAATTGAATTTAATTAAAAGTTTGATGGTCATCACTAAACAATTCAAATATCAATTATATGGAAATGGAATCCTCTTTGATGAGTAAATAAGGCTATTTAAGCATTTTATGACCTTGCAAATTCCCCAGGCCTTGACTGTTGCAATGATTCATTCTCAAATGGCAAAAAATTCATTATCTTCAATTACATAAGAAAGCACGGGTTACACTGAACAGAAGAGCTGGAGATGGGTAATAAAATCACTCGCTCTTCATCTAAATACTTTGAATTAACCAATGCCTCAGCAATGGTATTTTTTTTCTATTTATAAATGCAAAATGTTAAATGGAACAAAGTTATGGATTTGAAATCACTGTCTAAGCCACAATTACCAAATGAAGCTCAGGTAGCCTCTGGAATCTGAAACAGAACTATGATGTCCTGTAGATCTATCTTGGATGGTATTTTCTAGTGGTCTGGATTTCCGTCTTAGTGTGTCCTATTTTATGGCAATCTCATTTCCCTTCATTGCAGTTCCTTTACCAAATAGTATTAAAATTAAGCAAAGAATTGTGAGCTCAGATCATTGGCCTGAATAAATCCAAGGGAAGGGGTCCATGTTGTTTTCTGGTTTAGTAGCCTTTCCAGGAACAAACATGGTTCCAGGCGGTGTCAATAACCCCAGTGTGTGTGTGTGTGTGTGTGTGTGTGTGTGTGTGTGTGTGTGTTGGGGGGGGTATGTGCGACGAATCCAACATGCTTCTCTTGGGAATCTTAAACACGACAAGCAGCACAGCCTGTCCTCCAAGGATTCAGTGCCCAGGGGAAGAGACGGATGACCAGCCTAGAGTCTAGAACACTGGTCCATAGTGTCTCATCTGTATTTCCTAAAGCGTAGTTTTCCTATTTATAGTTTTTATCTATCCCACTCAATGTGAATATTTGTATACTTCACTGGTGAAATATTACTGTATTTGATTATAAGGTGGTACAAGACCCACTGCAAATTTTATGCAATATTTAGTATAGGTACCATATTACCTTTCCAAAGTATGAACAATTTGACCTTAAGCTTTTCAGATAAGTATAATTTATGTATATATATTTACGTATATGTATAATTTATATATAGCACCATCAGCCTCATGGAAGCTTAAAAGAGGGAAAAGAAATGGGATTAGTGAGGGGAGTTGCGAAAGGCCCTCCACCCCTCTACATATCCAGCTCTGCCACGAGGAAATAGATTCCTCATGGACACAAAGCAAAATCAAGCTATGGAATTTTTGATGATTAATCCCCCTCCCTTCCATTTCCATCCCTGTCCTCCACACGAAAAAGGGTTGGGGATGAGCAAAGGCGGGGGAATTGTTTAATCAAGTTTGGGAAGACATCTAGAATCTGAATCCTTGACATTCGCTTCATAAAACCATTGACGCTCAGAAGGCCACCGTAAGAGGGGTATCCGTGACACATGGCATGCTCTAGCCAGCTTGCACTTGCACGTTTTCCCCCATTTCTTTAAGATTTGGAGAGAAGCTTTAACATTGTTTCCATGAAAAGAACAAGACTACCTTCATTGGGAACCTGTTCACTTCCAACTAAAGAGAACAACTTGCAAACTGTACATCAGGAACTTCAGGGTCAAAACAGATTTCCAGCGGCACCTGGCGGGGGTGGGGGGTGGTGTCAAGCGGTTGAGCGTCTGCGGCTTGATCCCAGCTCAGGTCTTGATCTCAGGGTCATGAGTTCAAGCCCTGAGTTGCTCCTTAAAAAACAAACCAAAAATTGGATTTCCAGGAGCCGGACCCTACAGAGGGAGTCCTCTCTAAGCTGGTTGGGGTGGGGGGCAGAGGCACGCTCCTGCCTCAGCAGAGAGTCTGGCTATATTCCTGGGCTCTGGAGGCAGAAGCCTTACTGTAGATAAAGATATGCCTCTCTCAGCTAGGTAGTATTTTTTTCTAAAAGCAGTTTGCATCTTTCCTACCTCTGCTTTCAATAGGACTTGTCTCCATTCGGCACCAGCCACTGAGCCACGAGGCCGATGGTTCGGGGAATCTGAGAAGCTAGATTAAGGAACACTTGTTTCTCCAAATAGGACTTTGCTACAACTAAGGCCAAACTGGGGAGGATTAAGCCTCCATTCTTCAATATCCCTCTGGCGTGAATCTTCTATTCTGCATCTTTATTTAAACGAAAACCTAGCTGGTTCTTTAAGTTATTCAGGGGATATGCACAAACCAGCCCCTCCTCCCCTTTGCCTCCTTGATTCCCCAACATAAGAGGAAGGCTCTGACTGCAAAGTTCAAGACAATGCATGCAGGGTAGGGCATTCTTAGGTTTGTTTTGCTCTAGGAGAACCCAGGAGGAACACAGACTAGTTGGCGGAGGGACGGTAGGGGTGGGCGGGTGGTTGGGTGTTGCAAGTAGGGCCCATTTTAGGACCGGAGACTTGGCGATCAGGGTTAGTAGGACATTTGCTGCCACCAGTCTGTATCATCAGGGACAGCGGACCTGCCCTCTCCCCCCAGGTCACTGGTGACAAATCGAGCCTTCTCCTTAGCCGAGGACCTGAGAGGGGAGGTGTCAGGAGCGGGGAAGGCTCCCGCCCCTCCTATGTGAGCTCGTCCGTCGGGCCTAGAATGTCATGGATTAGAAAGGAAGCAGGTTCATTATTAAGGTATCAACCGTGTCCCATTCACAGTAACTTAGGATAGAAGGAGCAAGGGCTCTTTCCCTCTCTGGGGACTTCCTGGCCCTACAGTCTGCTTCTCCCCGGGGGAAGCCACCACCAGGCCCTGGGATGCCTGCTGAGCTCACCCGGCTTTTCTCGTGATGGAGACAGTGGGGTTCACCCAAGTCGGTTCGTTTCTAAACTTCACGTATTGCTGTGTTAGACTCACATCAAGGTGACTCCCCACATCAGATTTTCTAAAAAGAATAGCACTGATTTGCTCACCCCTGTGCATTCTATGCATCAGTGGGGGCAGGTGCAGGGGGAGGACGGGCGGTGGCCAAGGAGAAGCACTTCCCACAGACAATCTGGAGGGAATAGTCCGGCGCCGCATGCCGAAGGTGAAGGAAGCAGTGGGGCGTCCAGGCCTGTGTCTGTGCAGGATTCTCTGGAAATAGCCAGAGGTTCAAAAGTGATAAGGTGTTTTCTCCAGCCTGCCACCTCCAAACTAGAGTTTGGATGGAGGGATGAGTCCCTTCTGACACTCCCCTCAAAAACATGCTCCTACTTGCCATCAGGGGGAAACCAGTGTCAAGAACGGTGTTTCTTACATGATGTCCTCTAAAGCACTTCTCTTAATGGAAGCACTTTCAAAACCATCATCTTTTTGAATCTGACAAGGGAGATTAGGTGGTGGTGGTGGGTTTTGTTTTTATTGCCTTCTGGACAGAATCGGGAAGTGGGAAGCCTGTGCAGAAAATGTGGCTGAGCCTGACGTCACAGAAAAAGAGCGATGGCTGTTCGCTGTAGATAATATGGACTCGGATTGTTTTGCGGGGTTGGACGGGCAGGGTGGGGATGGAGAAGAGAAGTTGAAGTCTTGAGGGTAAAGAAGCATGTGGAGGGAGAGGCTGCAGGTAGAGGAGGTTACTGAGGAGGCGGCATTCGTGGCAGGCTTGTGCCTGGAAAAGACACGATGCCCAGTGAATACCTGGATGGCAGAAAAAAGAAGGGCGGTCTAAAGCCAAGCCCGCCAGGAGGGCACGGAGGGAGGTGGAGAAAAATCCTCTGCGTGTACATTTACTTGCTTTTAGCTTCAAGTGCGGAACCTACAGCTGTCCTGGGACAGGGCGTCCGTGGATGGGGAGACCTAGTGCCGACGGATTCAGCCGGCCAGCAGTGTCCCCAGGGACCCCTGCACCGGGGTTTGTGGAACCAACTAAAATTGTCCTCTTCACTTTGTTTTTGAGTGCATTTTTAAAGAGAGATACACTTGGGAGTAGTACAGGTAGAGACCAAATTCCAGGTTTCGTACTGACAGTGAGGGTTAATGTGCCTTAGCTGAGCGACTATCACGGGTTTCTTAATGATGGGCATGAGATTAAAAGTTCCATGACTTCATGATTTCGAAAGTTAATTTGTTTGGAGAAAAAAATCAGACCTATAGAAAGCATAGGCAGCACCTTATACTGAAAAGTATAATAGAAACATTTAGTTACTTTGTACTTGAGTATATTATTCCTGAAAACATATTTGATTATTAACATCTCCACTTGTAAGCAGAGCACACACACTCAGAATCACTTCTTTCTGCATATCCTCTGCTTGACTGCTGGAGACAAACATTACATTTGGAGAGGCTCTTTTTACATCTTAATTGAAGATTTTTTTTTTTCCTGTTCACATCATTGAAAATGAAGAGTGATGAATCCTGTCTTCTGATCAAGACCCATGTCAGAGATTGTTGCCCTGACCTTGGGAAAGTTTGTGTCTACTCAGGTCTCAATGAAGCAAAAATAAATATATGTTCTAGAAAACAGGTTTTG